CTGGGGCCTGGGAATGGGAACAGAGAGTTAGTTCGACGGTTCAGCGCATCTTCCTCACTATAAACAACCTGATGCGCCGGAAGCTATCACAGTGCACTAAAAGCAGTTGCTTGGAAGGTTGCTAACTGACGGGATAAATCTGATCGCGCGGTCAACCGAACGTGTGATTGTAGAGAGCGGCCGCCTGGCGGACTGAGATTCAGGCTGCAGTGGCTCCTTAATGTGGCATTTATGGCACTCCCCTCCATGGGATCTGAGTTAGTTTTAGCGACTCCGGCCGCGCTAGCAACTTCCGCCTTCTCTGGTTTTCTTGACTTGGTCATGACACCAGGCCCAGGTATAGGAGGGAGATAGGGTGTGGTAGATTCGGCGCAAGTTTAGTCTCAATATAATTTAACGCGTGAGTCCTTGCGCTTGCTTTCAGCCTGCTGGGAAGCATGTAGTGGACATAGTCAAACTGGACGGTCGAATTGTTATGTTGCGTTGGCCTGAGGGTGACGTATTCATGTGACCTATAAGCAGCAGCGACTAACTGGACGCACACGTGTCCGAGCAAAAGACAGGTTTTCCTATAGCCTGCGTCAATTTTACCAAATTCACATGGAGGCTACGACTGCACTTCCAGACAATGATGAACCGTGTCGTCTGCGACAGTCCAAGCCATGCAGGAAATAGCAGGGCATTGCTTTTGAAGGTCCTGATTTCGCAGCTGGTACGCCGAACGTTTCATCCACCGTTCCCGTCGTTTAAAATTGCAACGTAGGGCTACGGTAACCTGCATAGTTATAACCCTGTAATGAGAGTGATTGGTTGAAGGTGGATGTTGCTGGTTGCCTATTTCCCTACGACTGCGCTCTCGTTTGTAGGCAAGGGCTGCGTTGTGTCGGTCACCGACTGTAATAAGTTAGGCAATTGTGCAATGTCTCAACGTTTCCAGTCTGTGTATTCAATTTAGGTGAACGTTAAACTTGATAGTCTTGTTAAAGTCACACTGAAATACCGTTCTTTCCCATGTCACAGGGTACTATAACTTGGTTAACTAAGTTATTATTTAGGCAGATAGTATTGTCGGCAAAGACAAGGGAAACTGGAATGACCAATTCTGACTTACTAGCCCTTGTCGGCCAATCATACCCAGTCCCAAGTGGTGCACCACCTGAGGCTCGAACTCGCGACTTTTTCGATCAGAGTCTAAGGTTCTAATCATTGAGCCACGAGCTCGTTTTCTTACCGGTTTAGGTTAGATCTATTGACAATCGTCGATGAACACTTCCATATATTAAAAACTCGTCTGAACTCGTTGAAAGACGTCTGAGGAAGCACCAGATCCAAGTGGCGCACAAACCAACGACTACACTACGAAATCAGCTTGTACACCCTAAGGATAGGGTTGGCTATTTAGACAGAAAAGAGTTCGCTTGCAAAATTCCTTGTGGCGACTGCAATGCACTTTATTGTGGACAATTAGGAAATTCAGCCTCTACACGCTTACATGAGCATCAGTTAGCGGTAAAGAGGCGAGACCACCTGTCCCAAGTCGCCATGCATTCGCTTGAAACTGGGCTCAAATTCGCATGGGACCAAACCCGCATTGAAGCCTCCTGCCCATATAGGAAAGGCCGCGAATTCTTAGAGGCCATTAACTCTAATGACTCATGCATCAATAGGCACGTTGAATTAGATTCGATATTCATCAACCTCAAAGAAACCTGGAAAAGGCGCCAACCAACAAAGCCTGCTGTTGACCAACGATGACAAAGCATTATCGAATTTTTTCGGTATGTTTAAAATACTCACTGTTCTGTACACATTTTCCACACGTCTGATGACGGCTGGTGTGCCAGAGTCGAAAATTTACGCCAACTTAATAAACTTTATTGTTTGTCAGCGTTTCCCAACGAACTCCTACCAAATTATATTTCTTGGGATGCCAATTTTCGAATTCATACGAACAAATAATATGTATATACTTCGGAAAGCGTACGCTGTTTTTTTTTCTTGATGTATGACCCCTCTCACTTGGATTGTGCTTTAGAAGCCACTGCTTTCCGAATCGTTGTTTGAAGGTTCTGATCGTTTCCGATTCAAACACATTGGTGAAAAGATTGTTCTCTTTTCACATCACCATTTGCACGAAGAGCACCAGGCGTTACTTTTTCCAGGCCCTTCTTTAGCTTTCGGTCATGTCACAGGAGTCTGAAGCTAGATGTCACACTAAACCTTTTAGCATCTGTATCTCTCTTTTGTTATTTTACAGGCAAAAAGGATGGACATGTATCCGTTATTCGGGAGGACTCGAAGCTAGTTTGCTACCAGTGGTCTGCCACTGAGGACCGATGGTTGAAGGTTGGTGATGTCGTCGGCTCAGCCGCGGACTCAGCTACGGGCTCAAATCGGACCCTCTTCGAGGGACGGGTATGTCCACTCTCCTATTCTCTTACCCAATATGCTGTTCAAGTTTGCCCATGCCAAGTAACCGCACTTTTCATCATCCATGTCTGAACCAGGAGTACGATTTCGTCTTCACCGTCGACTTCGAAGAAGGTCAACCGCCGGTCAAACTGCCGTACAACAAGACTGATGATCCCTGGTTTGTGGCGCAGGATTTTCTGTATCGACATAACCTGCCGCAAGATTATCTGGACACTGTTGCCAAGTATATTATCAAAAATGCAGGTCTCGCAGAGATACCCAATCAAAAGCAACAGCAGTCGACAGTCTCAGATCCACTCACTGGTGGTGGTCGTTACTTGCCGGGTGACACTATGGCGGGTGGTTCGACACGCGAGCGCACCCAATTACCGGGCCATGGTGACCTATTTCCCGCGACTGATTACATTACTCTTGAGTCGACCAATGTCAGTCTTCTCCTGCGTGAGTATACACGTTCTCTTTGATAACTATAATCACGTTTGCAGTTTGTTTTTAAAAGAGTAGTTTTTTAACTTAACGAAGTTTACGTCGTCTTCGAGTCTTCTTTCGCGTGGACTGCGAGTAGTCTTTTTGTAAATGTCCTTATTATATATACAGATGAATTTTACTTGTAGAATGTGGCCGTGTGATTATAAAACATATCACTATCTGCTCGCGGATATCTTAATCTTCATAGTGAAATCAGGCTAAGCCCCCTTTTCGTTGACACTTTAGAGATTGAGTATAGCTAAAGGGAAATAGTTTTTTAAGCCGCATAACCTCTCAAAACCAGGACTTTCCAAGCCCTTCTGATGGTCTGCTCCCGTCAAGCATGCTCACATATTCGATTGACTTATGGGATTCGTCGTTTCTGCATTATGCAACTTTTGATGTGAATTAAATCAAGTTAGAGTTGTATTTCAATTGTGAATATTGTCAATTTTCTCGGTTGGTGGACGCTTACCAAATAGTTAATTCTGCCCACGAACGCTTCACCCTCCTAGGGTCACTAAATCATAATCATTTTCACTTTATTCATATCTATTGAATCTTTATAACCATCTGATCTCTACAGTATCTAGGCTTCTTCGCATGAGATGTCTAATCACCCTTGCCGACTAAATGTTGACTAAAATTCACCTTTTAGGAAAACTGACGTCGTTTAGTGAGACCGCAGCCAACCCTCTTTCTACCCGTGCCTTGGAGTTAGTTAGTGCACTAACTCCTCAAATGTCAAACTCGGATGCAATGGAGTTGACGAAGGCCCTTCTGGATGTGCTGCCTGGTTGGAAAGCAGGTGTGATCTCGGTTCGGTTATTGTATTCGTTCTTTTCTGGTTACTTATTATTAGTTGGTAACATGCTG